CACAGGAACCAAACGGAGCCACCAGGAGCCAAACGGAACCACCTGGAGCCAATCGGAACCGACAGGAGCCAAACAGAACCACAGGAGCCAAACGGAACCACCTGGAGCCAAACGGAGCCACAGGAACCAAATGGAGCCACCCCAAGCCAAACGGAGCCACCTCAAGCCAAACGAAACAACCTAGAACCACCTGGAGCCAAACGGAACCGACAGGAGCCAAACGAAACCACCAGGAGCTAAACGGAGCCACCTGGAACCAAATGGAGCCACCTGAAGCTAAACGGAACCACCAGGAGCCAAACGGAACCACCAGGAACCAAACGGAACCATCAAGAACCGAACGGAACCACGAGATGCCAAAAGAACCACCAGGAAACACAGGAACCAAACGGAGCCACCAGGAGCCAAACGGAACCACCTAGAGCCAAACGGAACCACAGGAACCAAACAGAGCCACCAGGAGCCAAACAGAACCACCTGGAGCCAAACGGAGCCACAGGAACCAAATGGAGCCACCTCAAACCAAATGGAGCCACCTCAAGCCAAACGGAGCCACCTCAAGCCAAACGAAACAACCTAGAACCACCTGGAGCCAAACGAAACCACCTGAAGCCAAACAGAGCCACCTGGAGCCAAACGGAACAGACAGGAGCTAAACGAAGCCACCTGGAGCCACCTGAAGCAAAACGGAACCGCCTGGAGCAGAGCAGAACCACCTGGAGCAGACCGGAACCACTTGGAGCAGACCGGAACCACCAGGAACCAAACGGAGCTACCAGAAACCAAACGGAACCACCAGGAGCCAAAATGAACCACCAGGAGCCAAATGGAACCACCAGGAACCAAACGGAACCACCAGGAACCAAACGGAACCATCAAGAACCCGACGGAACCACGAGATGCCAAAAGAACCACCAAGATCCACAGGAACCAAACGGAGCCAACCGGAACCACCTGGAGCTATACGGAACCGACAGGAGCCAAACGGAATCACAGGAACCAAATGGAACCACCTCAAGCCAAACGAAACAACCTAGAGCCGCCTGAAGCCAAACAGAACTGACAGGAGCCAAACGGAACCACTGGGAGATAAACGGAACCACCTGGAGCTAAACCGAGCCACCTGGAGCCAAACAGAGCCACCTGAAGCTAAACGGAGCCACCTGAAGCCAAACTGAACCGACAATAGCCAAACGGATCCAACAGCAGCTAAACGGAGCCATCTTGAGCCAAACTGAGCCAGCAGGAGCCAAACGGAACCACCAAGAACCAAACGGAACCATAGAAACCAAAGTGAGCCACCTGGAAAAAAAAAAACAGAACCACCTGGAGACAAACGGAACCTTAGAAACCAAACTGAGCCACCTGGAGCCAAACAGAACCACCAGGAACCATACAGAACCACCAGGAGCAAACGGAACCACAAGATGCCAAACGGAACCACAGGAGCCAAACAGAACCACCAGGAACCAAACGAAACCACCTGGAGCCAAACAGAACCGACAGGAGCCAAACTGAACTGAAAGGAGCAAAATGGAGCCACCAGGAACCAAACGGAACCCCCGGGAGATAAACGGAACCAACAGGAGCCAAATAGAGAGACATTTCCTGTAATCCAGGGTGAACCGGATCAGCACCAGGTGCGGACCAGTTCTGCCTCAGGGTTTTTAGGTGCGGTCTGGTTTTCCTTTAGAGGTGGAGCCTCTCCTTTCTAAATCCTTTCTCTGCACGCTTTGCTGCGATTTGATTGGATAACAGGACAATTTCAGAATGAGTCAGAAAATCCCAAGTGTCACTGAAAGCTAATGCTAGCGGTGTGATAGCCCAGCCCCCTTCAGAGCAGATGAGCCCAAATTGAATCATAATTTCATCACCTCTTGTACCAAACCTCAGCTTCTGCATTCTCATTGGTCGATCGTAGCAGGCGGCCCAGGTTCACCATAGCAACGTAATGTGTGGGCTTCAGGCGTATGGCTTCCCGATAGTGAGCGGCAGCTAGCTGGCCTTCACCTGGAGGAAAAGAGTTCAGAGAGGGAAGGGGAAGGATCCAAGGGGAAAGATGGAGGAGAGACAGAGGGCGTTTCTCAATATGCGTTCTTGAGCGTTCTCGTGTGCTCGTGTACTCAGCCTCAGC